ACGGCTGCGACTGGGGCGTGGAGAGCGATGCTGCTGCTCGAGGGGTCAGCAGTGTGCGAAGCGGAGCCGGGAGCGGAGCGATGAGCAGTTGCCGGAGAGCTGGGATGCGAAGTTGCGCGGTTCCCGGAGAGGTCTCGGCGTCAGGCTCGGTGCGGTACTCGTGTTGGCGTCCGGGTCTTGTTCAGGGGGTCGTAGATCCCACCTTCGTCGCCAGTGAAAAGTACTCAGAACGTGGAGTGATTCAGCAAGAGTGATTCAGCAAGAGTACTTTATTAGATCAGGAACAAGACAAAGGAAACCCGCTCACAGGCCGGTTTATATGCGTTCAGAAAGCCCGCCACCAAAGTACACCTAAACACACCCCCTACTCCCGATAGGCTATTTACAATAACCGGGCGACCATTGGTCTCCTGGCTGGGAAGCTAGCCCTTTGATTGGGCCGGCTAGGATCCTTCGGATCCTTTGTCTATCGACTGAAGCTACAGATGAATTGTGCCTGGCCAGCCCGGGCAAGTCCGGGCATGTCAGGCTGATGCCTTACACGTGGAAAGGCAGCAGTACATAAAGTATAGAATAAAGTATGTTTTGCTGAAATCACTCTCAGTTTGCATACTTTTCACTGGTGACGAAGGTGGGATCCATCTCCCTCGAACAGAGACCACGTTCAGGACATCGCCATGAGCTGCCGCCCCGAATTTGCCACTGCCGCCAGCATCGAGCATCTTCGAGAAGCGCCGCTCACCGCACCGCTCCCGAGCTTCGAGCATCACGCCGCTGACCCCGAGAGCATCACTGCACTGCTCCGCCTCTACGCAACGCTGAGCTAAACAAGGCGCTGCAGGCCCACGCTTATCTGGTGCCAGTGGTGAGCCATGTGTTGGCGGCTTTGGCGGGGACCTGGGTTTTTGGTAAGTTGGACTTGGCACAGGCGTATCAACAACTGCCGGTTGATGCTGCCATGGCCGAAGCCCAAACGATCACAACACACAGGGGGGCATTCAAGGTTCACCGCCTCCAGTTTGGAGTCTCGGTGGCGCCAGGGATTTTTCAATCTTTTATAGATTCTCTCCTGAAAGGCATCCCCGGGGTTCAGCCATTTCTAGACGATGTATCTGAGAACCCACATAGTCACACACCCAGCAACATTTCCAAGGTGCTTATTCTTAGGTTGCCATCGCTGGATCGCAAATTACCTGGAGACTTGGGGGTAGAGCCCGAGAAAGGCAAGGTTTTGGGGAAGGGGAACCTCTTTACATAAGAACCTAAGACGAGCCCTGCTGGATCAGACCAGGGAGGGTCCCTCTAGTCCAGCCTCCCGTCTCACACAGCCGCCAGCCAGTTCCTCTGGAGGGCCAGCAACAGGGCAGAGAGGCTGAGTCCTTCCCCTGAGAAGAACACAAGAAGAGCCCTGCTGGATCAGACCAGGGAGGGTCCATCTAGTCCACCCTCCTGTCTCACACAGCAGCCAACTAGTTCCTCTGGTGGACCAACAACAGGGCAGAGAGGCCGAGGCCTTCCCCTGAGGAGAACATCAGAAGAGCCCTGCTGGACCAGACCAGTGAGGGTCCTTCTAGTCCAGCCTTCTGTCTCACACAGGGGCCAGCCAGTTCCTCTGGAGGGCCAACAACAGGGCAGAGAGGCCTTCCCCTGATGCTGCCTCCTGGCTCTGGGATTCAGAGGATTAATGCCTCTGAATGTGGAGGTTCCCCTAAGTCACCAGGGCTGGTAGCCACTGATAGACCTCTCCTCCATGAATCTCTCTAATCTCCTTTTAAAGCTGTTTATTCCTGTAGCCATCACTATATCCTCTGGTAGTCAATTCCACATTTTCATCACTCTCTGTGTCAAGCAGCATTTCCTTTTGTCTGTCCTGAGCCTACTGCCCATCAGCTTCATTGAATGCCCTCAAGTTCTAGTATTTGGGGAGAGGGAGAAAAAGTTCCCTTTTTCAACTCTCTCCACCCCGTGCATAATTTTATAATCCTCTCTCATGTCCCTCCTTAGTCGTCTCTTTTCTAAACGGAAAAGTCCAAGACTCTTCAGCCTTTCCTCCTACAGAAGATGCTCCCTATCATTGCCATAGAGTCCACCCTGCAAAGCAGCCATTTTCTCCAGGGGTACCATCTCTGTCATCTGGGGATCCATAGTAATACTGGGAGTTCTCCAGGCAACACCAGGAAGTTGGCAATCTTTCTCTTGGTCTGAAAAATGGAGCTACTGAAGAGGGTTTTTGAAGGCAGTTGGTGGCAAGCATTGTGTCTGTATGTACCAGCCACTAAGAAAATCTGAGCAGAATTCTTGACATAATTCAATGCACTGCAATTTATGCCATGTTTTGGCCCTGGAAATATTAACATCGCTTTCACTTTAATTCTACTTTTACTGTTGTTTTATTTATCACTACTTGGGCAGTTGTTCTGTGTAATGTATTCAGATGCTGCCATGAATGCATTAAGATGAATGTGAATCATCTCATAAGAAAGCAATGTAAAGCTTCGTCTTCGGCAGGGATGCAAGCCGAAGACAAATGCAACCAATCACATTCAAACAGACCGGGAGCGGGAACGTTTGTGATTGGCCTTTATTCGCTCAACCTGATAGGTTGATATGTGTATAGTAGGCGTGGCTACATTAGCCCGGAATGTTTAAATACCGAGCAGCTGCAATGGAAAAGCTGTTCGGGCTATCAGATGTTGTACCATGTTGGTGAAGTGATCGTCGAGCTGAATAAACCTGAGTTTTTGCTGAAATCACTCTCCGACTCATTGTTAAGCACTGGACTTAACAATTGGCGACGAGGATGGGATACAGGAGCGGGTAGGCAGCCCCGCTAGTCCCAACCCCACGACGGACAACAGCGAGCCGCAACTCGCAGTGGCAGAACAGCAACAGGCACCATCAGAGCCGGTGGCAGCGATTGCAGCTATGGCCAATAGCCCGAAGTTCGAGGCATTCGAACCAACAACCGAGGACTGGGACGCCTACCTGCTGAGGTTCGGGTTCCACCTCGAGGCGAACGATATCACCACAGACGAGAAGAAGCGGGCCACACTCCTGAGCTCGTGTGGCAAGAACGTCTTCGATATCGCTCGGTCCCTGGTGGCGCCAGCGGACATAAAGACCGTGGCCTTCAAAGAGCTGACTGACAAGCTGAAGGCACATTACTCTCCGCAGCTGTCAGAGATTGCGTGCCGACACGCGTTCTATAAGAGAAGCCAGTCGTCAAATGAGACCGTGGCAGAGTTCATGGCGGCTCTACGTAAAGCGGCAAGGCCTTGCAACTTTACCAACGTGGAGGAGGCCCTCCGAGACCGGCTGGTATGCGGCATGTGAGACGAACGATTGCAGCAGCGATTGTTCGCAAAGAAGACCCTGACGTGGGCCGATGCCTATTCAGAGGCCGTCGCCACCGAGGCCGCTGATAAATCAACCCGAGAGGTGTGACAGCGTTTAGCCACCACCGAGCTGCGTGTCCACCACCAGGGGGCCGACACTGAAGGCGAGGGTGCGCATGATGACGTCTGCGTCGTCGCCAGACAAGCGGACAAGCGGACCCCAGCGAAGACTGCGAACAGACCACCATGCACCGGCTGTGGCGGGAAGCATCCGAGGGAGAGCTGCTGGACCAAAGACGTCGACTGTCGGAAGTGCGGTAAGCGGGGCCACATCGCCCGTGCTTGTAAAGCGTCCAAGGCGTCTCCTCGACCGTCGCCGCCCAGGAACCAACGTCCCCGAGCAGCGCAACGAGAGGCCAGCTGCCAGATGACCTCGAGCGTGTCACCTCAGCCAGTGGTACAACGCGTCGGAGGGACCGGAAAGATCCAGGTGACCGTCCATCTCGACGGAGTGCCATGCAGCATGGAGGTGGACTCGGGGTCGTCCGTGACCGTCCTGTCGTCCCACCAGGAGCCGGAGGAGGCTGAAACCAGCGGAGACCCAAGTGTCCGATTTTCAGGGCAAGCGTATACCTCTGGCGGGGAGGGATACGTTTACTGTAGAGTATAAGGGGAAATGTGCTCAACTGTCTTTGCTTGTGGCAGAGGGTGACAGAGTTAACCTGTTGGGCCTTGACTGGTTTGAACCCCTGGGTATTAGCATTACTGGGGTGAATACCGTTATGCAAAATAAATGGGCTGTATTGTACAGTGAGTTTCCAACTGTGTTCGGGGGTGGTCTGGGAAAATACACGGGGCCCCCGGTGTCGTTTGAACTAGATCCTGCGGTAACGCCAATCCGCCTAAAATATAGGAAAGTGCCCATTCCGCTCAGACCCAGGATCGAGGCTGAGCTCGATAAGCTTATCGAACAGGGTGTTTTAGAGCCTGTCCCATTCAGTAAATGGGAAACACCCATTGTGACCCCTGTGAAACCAGACGGGACGGTGCGTATTTGTGCTGATTACAAATGCACCATCAATCGGGCATTGCAACAGCACTCATACCCCATTCCAGTAATAAGCCACATTTTGGCTTCGTTGGGGGGGGGGGCAAGATTTTTGCAAAATTTGATCTTGCCCAGGCGTACCAGCAGCTGCCTGTGACGAAAGAAGCTGCTGAAGCCCAGACAATTGTGACCCACCGGGGGGCGTTCAGAGTAAATAGGCTCCAGTTTGGGGTGAATGTTGCCCCCGGGATCTTCCAGGGACTCATGGAAGGGTTACTGAGAGGGGTGCCGGGTACGGTTCCCTATTTTGATGACGTACTCATTGCGGGGGGATCAGAAGAAGAGCTCATGTGTAGAGTAAAAGAAGTGCTGAGGCACTTTGAAAAAGCGGGGCTTAAAGAAACAGTCGAAATGTATAATCGGTGTTCCAAGTGTTGAGTTCCTTGGGTTCAGAGTTGACCGGGAACGTGTGCACCCCACCGACGAGAAAGTAAAAGCCTATAAGAATGCCCCTAGACCGAGTGGAAAAAAAGAATTGCAGTCCTTCCTCGGGCTGCTCAATTTCTACCACGCCTTCCTGCCTCACAAGGCGTCGGTGGCGGCGCCATTACACGCGCTCCTTCACAAGGATGCAAAATGGCAGTGGGGCACTGAGCAGGAGCAAGCGTTTTAAGGAGTAAAAGCTTTGTTATCCTCCAATGCTGTACTGACACATTATGATGGCCAGAAAATGTTGGTTTTAGCAGCTGACGCTTCTCCATTTGGGGTGGGGGCAGTGCTCAGCCATGTGATGGAGGACGGACGGGAGGCCCCCGTCACGTTCTATTCCAGGTCACTGTCTGATACGGAAAAAAACTTTGCACAAATAGACAAAGAGGGACTTGCGCTCGTATCAGCAGTGAAAAAGTTTCACGACTTCTTGTTTGGCAGGCACTTCCTGCTTGTGACTGATCATAAGCCCTTGCTTGGGATTTTTGCCCCGGACCGGCAATTCCCAAATATTATGTCTGCAAGAATGCTCCGTTGGGCCTTGTTTTTGTCGGCCTATGACTATGATTTGGAGCACCGGCCAGGCAAGGCCATCGGTCATGCGGACGCTTTAAGTCGCTGCCCTCTGCCTGGCCAGGACTTGGACCCTGCTCCTGCCTGCTCCGTATTGGCGATCGAGGAACTCCAGCAAGCTCCAGTTACAGCAAAAGACATTGCCGCTGCATCGGCTAAGGACACTGTACTCTCCAGAGTTTTAAACTGGGTTTGGAGGGGGTGGCCGTTGGGAGCTGTGGAACCGGAGTTCCGAAATTTTAAAGCGCGCCCAAATGAGTTATCTGTTTCAAAGGGTTGCTTGCTATGGGGAAACCGGGTGGTGGTACCACATTCCCTCCGCCAGAAAGTGCTGAAATCACTTCATGAGGGCCATCCAGGCATGGTCCACATGAAGGCACTAGCCCGCGGCTATGTGTGGTGGCCCGGGCTGGATGCCGAAATTGAGGATTGGGTTCGGGTGTGTGAGCCATGTCAGCAGGCTAGGCCTGAACCGCCAACCGCTACTCCGCAGCATTGGGAGTCGGTGGGAAAGCCATGGTCGAGGCTCCACCTCGATTTTGCGGGGCCAGTCCAAGGCCAAATGTTTTTGGTAATTGTCGATGCGTATACGAAATGGCTCGAAGTGGCTCACATGCGCACAACCACTTCAGGGGCTGTCATCAACGTGCTCCGGCGCCTATTTGCAACTCACGGGCTGCCGGACGTATTGGTGAGTGACAACGGAACTCAGTTTACCTCTAAGGAGTTCCAAAGGTTTGTGTCTGATAACGGCATCAGGCATATGACAGCAGCCCCGTTCCACTCGGCATCAAATGGCCAGGCGGAAAGAATGGTCAGGACAACAACCTAAGAGGCGACTCTACACATGGACATCACCAGATGGGCAACACCGAAATCAGATTGACTATATAATTTGCAGTCAAAGATGGAGAAGCTCTATCCAGTCAGTAAAAACAAGACCTGGAGCTGACTGTGGTTCAGATCATGAGCTACTCATTGCAAAATTCAGACTTAAACTGAAGAAAATTGGGAAAACCACTAGGCCATTCAGGTTTGACCTAGATCGCATCCCTGATGAATATACAGTAGAGGTGAAGAATAGATTCAAGGGTCTAGATTTGATAGATAGAGTGCCTGAAGAACTATGGACGGAGGTTCGTGACATTGTACAGGAGGCAGCAATCACCACCATCCCAAAGAAAAAGAAATGCAAGAAAGCAAAGTGGCTTTCTGATGAGGCTTTACAAATAGCAGAGGAAAGAAGGAAAGCGAAAGGCAAAGGCGAAAAGGAAAGATTTACCCAACTGAACGCAGATTTCCAGAGAACAGCAAGGAGAGATAAGGAGGCCTTCCTGAATGAACAGTGCAAAGTAATAGAAGAAAACAATAGAATGGGAAGGACTAGAGATCTCTTCAAGAAAATTGGAGAAATCAAGGGAGCGTTCCATGCAAAGCTGGCCATGATAAAGGACAAAAACGGTAGGGACCTAACAGAAGCAGAAGAGATTAGGAAAAGATGGCAAGAATACACAGAAGAACTATACAAGAAAGACCTCGATGTCCTTGACAACCACGACGGTATAATCACTGACCTCGAGCCAGACATCCTGGAATGTGAAGTTAAATGGGCCTTAGAAAGCATTACTAACAACAAAGCTAGTGGAGGTGATGGTATCCCAGCTGAGCTATTCAAAGTCTTAGAAGAGGATGCTGTTAAAGTTCTGCACTCCATTTGCCAGCAAATTTGGAAAACGCAACAGTGGCCACAGGATTGGAAAAGATCAGTATACATTCCAATCCCAAAGAAGGGCAATGCCAAGGAATGTTCAAACTATCGCACAATTGCACTCATATCACACGCTAGCAAGGTCATGCTCAAGATCCTACAAGCTAGGCTTCAACAGTACGTGGATAGAGAACTGCCAGAAGTACAAGCTGGGTTTCGAAGAGGTAGAGGAACGAGAGATCATATTGCCAACATTCGCTGGATTATGGAGAAAGCAAGAGAGTACCAGAAAAATATCTACTTCTGCTTCATTGACTATGCTAAAGCCTTTGACTGTGTGGATCACAACAAACTATGGCAGGTCCTTAAAGAGATGGGAGTACCAGACCACCTCACATGTCTCTTGAGAAACCTGTATAAGGGCCAAGAAGCGACAGTTAGAACCGGATACGGAACAACTGATTGGTTCAGCATAGGAAAAGGAGTACGACAAGGATGTATACTGTCACCTTGCTTATTTAATATATATGCAGAGTACATCATGCGAAATGCTGGCCTGGATGAATCACAAGCGGGAATTAAGATTGCTGGGGAAAAGATCAACAACCTCAGATATGCAGATGATACCACTCTAATGGCTGAAAGTGAAGAGGATCTAAAGAACCTCTTGCTCAGAGTAAAAGAGGAGAGCGCAAAAGTGGGCTTGAAGCTCAACATCAAAAAAACTAAGATCATGGCATCCGGCCCCATCACTCCTTGGCAAATAGAAGGGGAAGTCGTGGAAGTAGTGACAGACTTCACGTTCCTGGGATCCCAGATCACCGCAGACTGTGACTGCAGCCATGAAATTAAAAGACGCCTGCTCCTTGGGAGGAAAGCGATGGCGAACCTAAACAGCATGATAAAAAGTAGAGACATCACCCTGCCAACAAAAGTCCGCATGGTCAAAGCAATGGTATTCCCAGTAGTCATGTATGGCTGCGAGAGCTGGACTATAAGGAAGGCCGAGCGCCGAAGAATAGATTCTTTTGAACTATGGTGCTGGAGGAGACTCTTGAGAGTCCCTTGGACTGCAAGAAGAACAAATCAGTCAATCCTCAAAGAAATCAACCCTGACTGTTCCCTGGAAGGCCAGATAATGAAACTGAAGCTCAAATACTTTGGCCACCAAATGAGAAGGGAGCACTCACTGGAGAAGACCCTGATGCTGGGAAAGATTGAAGGTCAAAGAAGACGGGGACGGCAAAGGATGAGATGGTTAGACAGTGTCA